ACAGCTTTCAGAAACTCTGTAACCAAGGGCAGTCCTGATATTCTCTCTCTCTCTCACCACACACACTTGCAATATAGTGACCAATATAGTTAAGGTTGCAACGTAATTTCAGTCAGAAGACCCTGTTTTCACACCAATAACTTTGTGGTTCATCTTTTGGTCTGATATTTTCAGTGTTTGATTTTTGCCCATAAGGTGACTTTTTTCTACAGTTATGAGCAAGAATCCTTAGATGTTTTTATAGCTATGAGTGTCTGGGGGATGAGGGCAGGGAATACTATTTTCCCATTTAAAATCAGATCACTTCCTTTCCCCTCTGTAAATAAAAGCCTGGATAAATAACTATATGAGCTGAACTTCGAAATTTCAAGCTTGGCATCAAAGGCAGTGGTTCTCAACCTTTTCCATACAGGGACTCCACTTACCACCTTTTCCATAGGAAAAGCCCCCTTCCCATCTATCTGGATTCCCTTCTCATTTAGCAATATGGGAAGGGCGGGGCGATGGTGACCCTCCCACCCAGACTCCTTTTTGTAGGGACAATGACCCCCAGTTTGCGAATTCATAATCTAAGGATTCTTCACTGACAGGTAATAAAGTTATAAGCCATTGAGACATCACTTCTGAGCATGCGCAGTAAGACCTGCTAAGATTTTTCTTTTTTTAAGCCTACTGAAGCCATGTTCCCTGGTGATATTATAATACACCTTTTCCCTGAGTAAAGAGCCAGCGGGCACAGAGACTGCTGTCAAGTTGCTGCTGGGACCTTTTGTACAGGGAGACTGTTTCAGCAAGTTGTTAACATTAAAAATTCTGCCACAAATCAATGCTTTTGCGTCAGGAGCTAGAGAAAATAGCAAGCATTAAAATATTATGTCTCTCTTTCTCTCCTGGGATTTTAGGACCTTTGCTGTCTTTCCCTGCATTATCCAGTAGTTTAGAACGTTTTTTTTTTTTTTTTTTTTAATGAAAGCTAAGGTACAAGGCAGCAGCACATCTGCTTTAATGGCTGTAACACAGCTTTACAGAAAACTGTCTCCAGGTGAACAATAGCTTCCTTTCCATCCCCATTCCACTGGTGGCACACATGTGATAGCAAAGAGCAATATAGTAAAAAGTTACCACGTTAGCAAGACAAACAGGAAGATACATTGCTATGTACGTGCAACTTCACTGAGTTAAGCATGCTGTAGATACTGCAGTTCCAGATTTTTATTTTAGCGGGGCAATCATAATATTGCACAAACTGCCCCCCAGTTCCCCCCCCATGTTTAAGGAATATGTGATTGTGCAGTATTTGCAGGAGTTGGGGATTTGCACATTATGCATAAGTGAAGCCACATATAAGTTACATGGATCATCCCAAAACAAGCATTGATAAAGCCTTTGTGCCATATCACACCTGCATATAGTCTGTATAGAACACATTACAGGAAGAACTATTTTACAAATGTTTTAGAGGTTTAAAAAAATGGAATTGGGACTATTTCTTGTGTACTTCCCCAAGTGATGTCTGGTGCATTAATTAGCACGAGGCCAACGGTACAGGGCTATAGAGGAGTAACAAACAACAGAAAAGTTTTTTTAAAACAGCTTTTCTACACAGTCTAACTCAGGACATTCAGGGGACACCATCATAGGGCCTAATCACATCAGCCACACTATCAGAGACTGCACATCTACCAATGTGATGATCTATGCCATCATGTGCCAGCAATGCCCCTCTCCCATGCACATTGGCCAAACTGGACAGTCTCTACGTAAAAGAATAAATGGACACAAATCAGACATCAAGAATTATAACCATTCAAAAATCAGTCGGAGAACACTTCAATCTCTCTGGTCACTAGATTACAGACCTAAAACTCGCTATTCTTCAACAAAAAAACTTCAAAAACAGACTCCAATGAGAGACTGCTGAATTGGAATTAATTTGCAAACTGGACACCATTACATTAGGCTTGAATAAAGACTGGGAGTGGATGTATTATTACACAAAGTAAAACTATTTCCCCATGTTTATTTTCCCCCCCTCCCCCCACAACTGTTCCTCACATGTTCTTGTCTTGTCAACTGCTGGAAATGGCCCACCTTGATTATCACTACAAAAGGTTTTTTTCCTCTCCTGCTGGTAGTAGTTCACCTTACCTGATCACTCTCGTTACAGTGTGTATGGTAACACCAATTGTTTCATGTTCTCTGTGTATATAAAATCTCCCCACCGTATTTTCCATTGCATGCATCCGATGAAGTGAGCTGTAGCTCACGAAAGCTTATGCTCAAATAAATTTGGTAGTCTCTAAGGTGCCACAAGTCCTCCTGTTCTTTTTTTTAGGATACAGACTAACATGGCTGCTACTCTGAAATCAGGACATTCTGGGACCAGAAGTGAGTGAGCTCTATTGGGTGGATTTGGGACAGGTGTACATTCCTTGATGGTACAAATGTCTGTTATCTTGCAGTCCCTGAATCTGTTCACTGTAACAATCTATGACATCTCATCTTTTGCATAGATTGTAAGCTCTTTGGTGCAGGGACCAACTTTTAGCTGTAAGTTCGTGCTAGCTGCTGCACAGTGGGGCTTAGGGCTCTAGGTGCTACCATAACGTTAATGATAACACAGCACCCTTTCCAGCCTTTTGCATGGTCACGAGACATCATATTTTATTATTATTTATTTGTAATACCATAGTGCCTAGAAACTCAATGAGGCCCTTTGTATAACCATTGTATAAACACAGTGCAAGACGACTGTCCCTACCACATGGAGTTTGCAATTTAAGAATAAGATAAAAGACAACAGATGGATGCAGACAAATAGATCGGGGAGTCCAAGGAAACAATGAGACAATACTGGTCAGCATGGTAGGCAGTGGGATAGCTTTAAAGCGGTCACTGGTTGAGGAGGGAGTACGTAAATTTGGGGAACAAAATCCACATTTGAAGGAGGGGAGGAAACAGTGTGCAAATAAATGATGGTTGTTTGAAACTGCTCCGAGTTATCAGTAGCCCCAGAGTGGATGGATTAGTGGGCAGGCGAGGCGGTCAAAGTGGCTTTATCCTATGGCTATGTAAATATATCACAAGAACAATACATACAAGGTAGTGTGGCTTTTGTTGGTTATGGTATTGAATAATATTGATTATCCCTTTTAAATTCTAGTATCAGAGAAAAGTCCGATCTCCATAGCTACTCTAGTATTTAAAGCATGAAGGCTAACACCACCATGTATTCTAGCATCATTGCCGGAGACCTGGAGTATGCAAGAAACAATCTTTATGAAGACAGGTTTCAGAGGAACAGCCGTGTTAGTCTGTATTCGCAAAAAGAAAAGGAGTACTTAAAGAAATTGGTTAGTCTCTAAGGTGCCACAAGTACTCCTTTTCTTTTTGCGAATCTTTATGAAAAGTCTTATCACACATTAACTGGTGTTTTCCTAGAACTGTCACATAAATTGCAATGGTTAGGGGAAAAAAACAAAAAAGCATCTAGCACCAGTATTTCCAATTCTTTCGAACTCACACCTCCATATGGAATCCTGAAGAAGAGTGCAGGTGGCCGGCTCCTGTTGAGGGTCAGGAAAGGATGACCTCCAAGAAGCGGTGACCTCCAGCCATCTGCCAAGCCCTATTTATAATAAGTTACACATATGCCCACCAAAGCTCATTAAAATGCATGAGGGTTGAACCCTTCATGTCCATCTTTGGGAGGCTCACCCTGATATTATCAGGGACTCTTCATCGGATAGGCCACTTGGATAGATTTTTTTTAAATCTATTAACATTGACATCACCATCTTATCACCATAGTAACATATGGTTAGCTTACAAGTCTCTAATATTTCACCCCAGCTACCAACACTCATCCTGTGGTGCCTATTGATCTCTCAGACATTTTCTTCCAAACTCAGCAGTTATTTTTCAAAACATGAGCATACAAACAAATATAAACTCAACAGATTTATTAATTTACTTGTGCTAGCTTATCTATATAGTATAGCTACCTTAATCTAAGTCCCAAGGCCTAATAGTGGCTAAGCGAGGTATCTTTCAGGCATAAGCCTGTAGGTTTCTTGCATTTCAGCTTCAAACATTAAGCTTTATTTAAGCCAGTTACCTACCAGGTATTAGTGTCTTATATCGTGCCCTTATAATAAATTAATTTATGTGTTTCAAGCTACAGCGGAGTGGTACAAAGTTTTCATCGATAGTTGCTTGGAACACCAGGTGTAACTCACTCATGCTCCATCACTTGTGGGCCATAGGACTCCTGCAGATAAGCGCCTGATCACCATATATCCCATATAGAATACTTACACCTCTTGACTACCACCTATAATAAATAGCCTTATGTCAACACTACCTTGCATTGAGGAAGTGTCTTCACTTAAATTTGTCTCCCTCGGACATAAGTGCCTCTCTATCTGATATGGGAACACCACCTCCCCCAGCGGTGTAGAGTCAGGGTCAATGTAATCAGGTTGATGCAGAGTCAGTGTACAGACTGCATGGCTTATATCCATTGTTACTGGCTTTCAGGAGATGTCCCACAGTGCCCTGCAAGGACAAGATCATGGATACAAGTGCTCCTGGTGAGGACATGCGCCACCAGCGATTTAATAACTACAGCCACCACGGTTTAAGTCCACATAATTTTGTTGTGTAGACATGGCCTGTATTTCCTTTTCCACTATCTCCCAGTCTCAGTGAGCCCTGTGGCCAGCCTTCCCAAAGCCTTCGGGAAACCACCGGGAGGCTCTGCTGGGTGCAGAGAGGGAAGATCAGTACAGGGTCTCCCAGGAACTCAAAGCCAGGATGGGTTTCCTCCGGATAGATAACCAGCCTACCCAAAGCTGGAGCTGCTCGGCCCCCAAACCCTCCAGCGGCTGCCTCCCGGAGATGAGTCTTCTCTGCACAGTGCAGACCCCTCGGTCTCCCCACAGATCAGTGTTGGGGGCTTATGAGAAGAGGCGGGGGGCGGGGGAGGGTGTCTTTTGATGTCTGAAGAGCAGCTGGAGCCTGTAATCGCTGCCGAGGCAGAAACGGCTCACACCCACTGCGCGTGGTGCAAGGAGGGACAGAAGCCCCTCGCAGGCGAGTCTCGCGGCTGGGCCCACACACGAGGATCGGGGCCCTGCTACTCCCCACCCCCATGCCGGTGTTTTGACATGACCGTCGGCGGAGGCTGAATAAAGAGACGTCATTTGGCAGCAGCCCGGCGTGCGCCTGAAGAGAGGATCGGGGAGGAGCGGACCGAGGAGGGGGGCGGCAGCCGAGTTGGCAGGGTGGGGGCCAGGATTACAGCAGCTTCCAGTGGACGAGGGCAGAGAGTGGGAGCAATCCTGCCGCTACCGGCCTGAGGAGGAGCCCCCAGCAGAGGAGATTTGCATGCTGCTGCCGGCTGATGCCGAGGCGATTGCAGAAGGGTCCTATGCAACCCAAACCCCTCCCCACCAAATCAAGGGCAGAGCGGGCCAAAGGGCTGGCTTGAGAGAGCCAGGAAGGCCACCCCGCGGCCTGGAGAGTTTGCAAAGAAAGGAGCGACGCTCCCCAGCTGGAGGACAGCGTCTCCGGGAGCTCCGCCTGCGCTAAGGGGCGCAAGGAGAAAGAAACACAGCCGCCTTCGCGCCCCACCGTGCGGGGCTGCGAGGCGCAGGGCGGGAGATGAAGGCTGCCCCGGGGAGCCGCCGCGCCGCGGAAACAGAACCAGCAGCTGGATTTTGCGCAGGGGCCGGATGGTTTCCCTGTAACAGATGGACGGTCTCGCACCCAGGTTGCAAGGGGAGGCGAACGTGCATGATGGATGGCGCGGGCCCGCCCTCGGGGGTGGCCGGAGAGCTCTGTTGCAGGGGCTGGAAGATCTTGGACAGCCGGGCTAATTGCAGCTAGGGGAAAGGAGCCTGTATGTGAGTATTACCGTGGATCGATGTCCTGTATCCGGCGGTGGCTAGAGACATGATGATGATGATGATTTCAGCTCTTGTTTTCGGTGGGATCCCCAATGCAAACGATTTGCCAGATTATCAGGGCGCTTTCTTCTCTCATTGAGCACGGGCCTTCCAGCATATTTCTGGTAACCCCTTTGTGTATCCCCCTCCCCGCCCCCCGCCATAAAATTAGAAACCAGTTTGCATTTTAATATAGGGGTAATTGCTTCAAATACGTCTACTTTAAGCAAACAGACTCCAATTTTGATTGAGTTTTACGGCTCCTGCGGAAAGACAGTAAACAGAGACGCCTAATGCACTGCTTTACAGGCTGCACTCATGTTTTAAACTTTCCTTTTAAATAGCTGAGTAGTAGATGGCTTGGCAGAGCCCGTCTAACAAGCAAGACGCGGCCGTGCTAGAGGTATTACAGTAGTTGATCGCCTTGGCAGGTGTAAGGCAAGGGAAGTGGATGTTATTTGTTTCCCCCCGAAGAGCATACATTTGTAGGCAATCCAAGCTACGCTGCTGGGTTGCCAAATCTGCAACATTCCCATGAAGTTCTGCACGCAGCAAGCGAGCTTTTCATTGCTCAGAGGCGTGACAGTAACAGCTCCAAACAGAAAGAAAGACAGAAAGAAGAGCAGCGCTAGCTAGTGGCCGTGATAGAAACTGCTCAACGTCCCTGACTCCGGCACTCTGGGGTGCTGCGTATTTCCCCTGCTAAAAATCTGCCGCCACGGGTTAAAGCAAATAAAATAGACAGTCGCACCCGTTGGGTTGCAGATCAGGCTTAGTCTGAAGCTCGGTCCCCTCCATCTCCTTGCGAACCAAGGGGAACGTAGTAGGAGAGGCGTGTTACAGTCCAGTCCTGCCTCCCCCACTCTCCAAGGCGGCAGGATCGACTGTGAGGAGCCACCGGCGATGGGCAGGGCAGGGGTTTGGGGTGTGCATCTTATTACGAAGTAAATAGAGTAGCTGCCTGGGTGTCCAAGAGTTGGCGACAAAACCATTGTTAAGAGGTACAGAGTGGTACAGTGCATGGTTCCCACCATGAGCAGCAGAGAAACCAGCTGCCAAGGCTGTCTAATCCATCATATTTACCAGGAATTGAAGCAAATCAAACAAAACTGGAGCAGACGCTAAACCGAACACACGCCTCTTAGGCTGTGATCTGGGGGAGCTGCCCAAGAAAGGAAGTTCCAAAAGGATGAGCGCTCCGCTACAGAGCTCTGCAGCCAGTCCTGAAACACACAATTCCAGGAACCAAATCTAGGGGGATCCCTGTTCATCTCCATTTACCATGGCAGGGTGTAAGATGAGAGGTGGGGGTGATCCCATGCCCAGCTGAAATGAACTGGAGGGAGGGCAGGGAGATGTTTGCTACTGGACAGAATATGGGCACAGAATGAATGGGATCGGAGCACCCATTTCAGGGTGAGCCTGAAGTGTATTGGGTTGACAATTATTCCTTATCCCTAAGCTTCCAACAATATTTTAATATCTATAAGATGCACTTATTAATCTCTAGGCAGTTTAAAGAAACCATAACTCCCCTTTGTCAAATGCACACTTATCAATCAACCCTTTCAGAAAGAGAAGGCTAGGTAAACGTATTGGCCTTACGTGTCCTGAAGGTCAGACTTGGGCTGTTAGGTAGGATTCCAGACTTGAGGACCCTCCTCCACTGCTAACGCTCTGCTCCAAGGGATACAAAACTGACACTTGTATGTTAATTTAAATACAGCAAAACTGTAGGTCAGCCATTGAGCAAACTTTAAACTGGCATATGCTTCTGATAAATTGGGAGTGTTTCATTAGCCTCAAACTGCCAGATGGCACTGCACACTTCCATAGCATTCTGCCGTGCCAAGGTCTTATGTGAATGAATTTTCCCAAAGGTTTAGAAGGATCTGAAATCTTCCGAAAACAGGAGTTTGAATAAACAGTAAGCAAGCCTGGTATGAAGATGCAAAATGCTACTTTCCAAGCAAAATTCTGGAAGTTTCCCTGAGTAGCATTTAGATGGGAGGCTCTTGGGGAGAAAAAGCTCTGGAGAGTGCAGGTCTAATTAGTATTTTCCTTTCCATCTTCTGCTTTGCCATTGCCTTCTCTATTATTTCCTCATGCCATTTAGACTCATAGACTAAGGTCAGAAGGGATCATCATGATCATCTCATCATAGCTTTTGCATAGTGCAAGCCACAGAACCTCAACCACCCACTCCTTTAATAAGACTCCTAACCTCTGGCTGCATTACTGAAGTCCTCAAATAATGATTTAAAAAGACTTGAAGTTACAAAGAATCCACCACTGGCACTGGTTTAAACCTGCAAGTGACCTGTGACCCATGCTGCAGAGGAAGGTGAAAAACTCCCCAGGGTCCCTGCCAATTCCTGCCATATTTGGGGTCAGTCAGTTAGGCTCTGAGCATGTGGGCAAGACCCATCAGCCAGACACCTGGGAAAGAATTGTCTGTCCTAATTCAGAGCCAGAGGTGAAAGTAAGCCGGTACACCCTGGTACGGCATATTGGCAAGAGCCGGTGCGCCGTACCGGGGTGGATCGGCTTCCCCAGGCGCAATTTAAAGGGCCTGCGGCTCCCAGCAGTGGCTGCAGCCCCCTGCCCTTTAAATTGGGGTAGTGGCGGCGGGACTGGGACAGCGATTTAAAGGGCCTGGGGCGGTAGCAGTGGCCGAGCCCTGGCCCCTTTAAATCGTCCCCAGAGCCCCGCCGCCGCTTCCCCAGGGCTCTGGCAGGCTCTGGGGACGATTTAAAGGGCCCGGGGGCGGTAGTGGCAGCCGGAGAGCCCTGCTGTGGAGCCCTGGGGAAGCGGTGGCGGGGCTCTGGGGACTATTTAAAGGGCCCAGGGCGCCAGCTGCTGCTACCGCCCTGGGCCCTTTAAAACGCTGCCAGAGTCCCCGGCTGCCGCTGTTACCCCAGGGAGGGGGAAGGAGGCACTTGCCGGTACAGGGTGGGCAGGGGCTGGCTCTGACCTCCCCCAGCCCCATCCCTTCTGCCCAAGGCCTCGCCCCTTCCAGGGGCCAGAGCCTAGCCCCGTACCTGTAAGTCTAGTGTCCCATCACCAGCCATGGGAGATATTTGCAGCATGCAGTCATAGATCTGCTACATGCCACTGTAGGCAGTCTCATCATACCATCCCCTCCATAAAACTTATCAAGCTCCGTCTTGAAGCCAGTTAGCTTTTTGCCTCCAATGCTCCCTGTGAAAGGCTGCTCTAGAACTTCACTCCTTTGATTATTATAAACCTTCATCTAATTTCAAGCCTAAATTTGTTGATGGCCAGTTTATAAGCTGTCACGGGATAAGAGGGAAGGTTCTCTTATGGATTGGTAACTGGTTAAAAGATAAAATACAAAAGGTAGGAATAAATGGAGAGGGGTAAATAGTAGTGTGGCCCAAGGGTCTGTACTGGGACCAGTCAGTCCTATTCAACATATTCATAAATGATCTGGAAAAAGGGGTAAACAGTGAGGTGGCAAAATTTTCAGATGATACAAAACTACTCAAGATAGTTAAGTCCAAAGATGACTGTGAAGAGCTACAAAAGGATCTCTCAAAACTGGGTGCCTGGGCAACAAAAATGGCAGATGAAATTCAACGTTGATAAATGCAAAGTACTGCACATTAGAAAACATAATCGCAGCTATACATATAAAATGTAGGGTCTAAATTAGCTGTTGCCACTCAGGAAAGAGATCTTGGAGTCATTGTGGATAGTTCAATGTGCAGCAGCAGTCAAACAAGTGAACAGGATGTTGGGAATCATTAAGAAAGGGATAGATAAGACAGAAAAGATCATCTTGCCTCTCTATAAATCCATGGTACACCCACATCTTGAATACTGGGATGTGGTCACCCCCTCTCAAAAAAAGATATATTGGAATTGGAAAAGGTTCAGAAAAGGGCAACAAAAATTATGAGGGGTATGGAATGGCTTCTGTAGGAGGAGAGATTAATAAGACTGGGACTTTTCAGGTTGGAAAAGAGATGACTAACGGGCGATACGATTGAGGTCTATAAAATCATAACTGGTATGGAGAAAGTAAATAAGGAAGTGTTATTTATTCCTTCTCATAACACAAGAACTAGGGTTCATCCCTGAGCGCTAGCTCCACAGCTCCCATTGGCTGGGAATCACAGCCAATGGGAGCTGTGGGGGCAGCACCTGCAGCTGGAGGCAGAGCACAGAGCCACGCCTCTGCCTAGGAGCAGCTGGCACAGGTCACTGCTTGCCAGGAGCCATCCAAGGTGAGCGGCCCCCTGATCCAGCACCCTGTACCTCCTCCCTGCTGCCCCTCCCACACCCAGACTCCCTCCCTCTTAGTTAACTGGCGTTTTTCACTTACCGGCACCCCCTCGTTCCTCCAACATGCCGGATAAAACAGCTTTTACTGTAAATTCATGGAGGATAGGTCCATCAATGGTTGTTAGCCAGGATGGACAGGGATGGTGTCCCTAGCCTCTGTTTGCCAGAAGCTGGAAATGGGCGACAGGGAATGGATCACATGATGATTACCTGTTCTGTTCATTCCCTCTGGGGCACCTGGCATTGGCCACTGTCGGAAGACAGGATAACTGGGCTAGATGGACCTTTGGTCTGACGCAGTATGGGCGTTCTTATATCCATTTGTTCTTGTTCATTTACAGTTTTATGCTTAGTATATATTTAAATTAGCATGTTGCTACAAAATGGTGGATGCGGTTCTGGGGAGGCATTTCCTCCTACCTGTAGGAGGAAAGGGTGTTATTAACGATAAGTTAGAAGGGTCTCACTAAAGGATTGTTACAGATACGGGCGCAATAATACGTGCTTGGGCTATGTATTAGTTTAATCAGACTTTCATTTTCCCAGATCTATGTATTCGTTATATTGATTTTTAACTGTTACTTTAAGACCCAAAGTCTGCCTTTCATAATTACATAAGAGTACCTGTGAGATATGCACACAGCAAATACTATACAACTTTAGAGATGGTCACATTGCCCTATGCCCCCAAAGCAGCCCCAAGATTGGCATGTCTGTACCTTCCCCAGGCAGGCACCCTCCATCTCTGCTTTCTTCTCTATGGGAAAATTCAAGAGAAGCTGTGTAAAGGGAACCTCATGAGTTTCTGGCTGGTAGGTGGATATTTCCTTGTAGCAGCATGATTTCATCCTAAATTTTTACCACAGTACAGATTGTAAAAATTGAGGAAAGGACCTTATTATATAGCCCCAGGTCGTAAGAGCACTAGGATGCAAAATTTGCACATTGAATCACTTTTTATGAACAAAGACTTTTGAACAGTGCCCCAGAGATAGATTAGAGAAGGAAGTTATGCTTGAACAGAGTACATAAATTCAAAGGTAAGAAATAGAAAGTGAGATACAGAAGGGAAAAATGATCAGGCAACCCTGCATTCTTCAACCCTTGACAGGCTCGTGGCTAATTTCCCAGCTGCCAGCAGGGAACCCAACCAGAAAAACCCTCCGCAAATGTGCCAGCCAAGGAATCGGACGCCCAACAAGATGCTGCTGCTGGAAAAGATATTCTACAGCTTGGCTTCTGTGCAGGACAGCTGTCAAACATGGTCCATCTGTAGCTACAGCTGTTGATTCCATTGCTGAAGGAAAGGAGCAGGCAGAAGACAAATAGGGGGTTTCCACAGGACTAACCGAGTCAGAAGTACTGTCAAGTCAGCATTGCAATTACAGGGTTGTGTCAACTTTTTTTTTTTTAATTGCACATTTTAAAATGTGCTTTGCTCGCTCACTCAGTGGATGCCCAAATGTAATGGGTGAAATAACATGATGGTTCAGGAATAATTCCTCTGCACTGACATTCAGAATAGAGAAGCAAGAACTCATAGTTTCTTCTGACATTTTAAAGAAACCACCATGACCTTATTGGTCCCCTTTCAGTATATCAGTCACTACAGATGAGACCTCTATAGCTCCTGACGTGGCAAATGTACACATATTGATCAGTTAAATAGAGCTGTGAAGTTGAAAGGGAAAGAAAATAGCATTTTCCATACACATTTACCCCTAAAAATTAAAACAAGGGCATCAAATATTTGATACAGGATACATTTCAGACTGAGCTACAAGTGTGTGGAATTAATTCAGCATTAAGCAGATACTTTGATGGTACAGGCTGTAGTTATTTAAAACTACAGTAATTAGATTTTATAAACCAATAGTCCTCATATCACTTAAGTATTTAACAAAGTTATCCCCAATTCTGTTTTTCAAAGGTTGTTCTAGGCCACTATTTTGAATTAAAATTGGACATTTTGGAAGAGAAATTGACCCATTTCAACACTGCTGTTCTCAAGGTTCTTTGTCCACCTTTCCCAGTTATTTATATAAGTTAGTCTACTAAAGTCACAGGCCCCAATTGCTGAGTTTATGATGTAAGGTTACCTGCAGAGATTAGTTCCCTTCAGTGACAAATATTGTAAAAAACAATATTGGTGCCCTAAGAAAACGACAGGGACCAACTAAATAGTGTCCCAAATCTTACCATTTTCATCACAAGTTTCACTCGTGTTTCATAAAGCCCCAGCTCCTGAAGTAGGCAAGTACATGAGAATCTCAGCTCCCTCTCCCCCTCTGCCCATTCTCCCCATAAACTGCCAGCCTTCACTGGTGTGGAGAAAAATGTGAATGCTAAGGGCTCCACAGGTAAATGCTAAGGGCTCCACAGGTAAATAAAAAATGCCCCAAATTTAGTTATTTTTTAAAAATCTCATGATTTTTAATACTTGGCATTGGGGATACTGAAGAATAATACTGTAAACATCTATCTCCAAAGGGCTTCACACATACAGGAAAATGTGCCATCACTGTTACAAGCCATCAGTTTCTACAACCGTAGCACCTCATTTCCCATATGCATTCAAGGCTTTTGAAACTGGTATTTATTAAATTGATTTGGGTCCACGCTAGACCTTGACAATCCAAGCCTGGCTGTATTTTACAGCTAGGACAATCTATAACAGTGGTTCTCAACCAAAAGTGACTGTACCCCTGGTGGTACACAGAGGTCTTCCAAGGGGGACATCAACTCATCTAGTTATTTTTCTAGTTTTACAATGGCTATATAAAAAGCACTAGCAAAGTCAGTACAAAATTAAAATTTCAGAGACTTATTTATACTTCTCTATATATAATATACACTGAAATGCAAGTACAATATTTATATTCCAGTTGATTTCTTTTATAATTATATGGTAAAAATGAGGAAGCAAGCACTTTTTCAATGCTATGACACCTTTGTATTTTTATGTCTGATTTTGTAAGCAAGTAGTTTAAGTGAGGTGAAACTTGGGGGGTACTCAAGAGAAATTAGACTTCTGAAAGGGGTACAGTAGTCTGGAAAGATTAAGAGCCACTGATCTACAAGACCTTCAGCAGTATGACTGCAGGTATGAGAAGAAATGAAGGATAAATCCATTGTGACACAAATATTCCTGTTTGGATAAAAGATTATTGAAGCATTTAAATTACATCATCAATTCATTTAGAATCAGAAAATAAATTAATCTCAAGTTTCCAGATGTCTTATTTCTTAATTTGTCAACACATTGGGGGGGGGGGCGGGGGGAGGATGTCTTCATTAGCGTTAAACTTGCTACACGGAGCATTGAGAAAATGTCAATATCACATCAGAGAAAGAAGTGTGCATACTACAAGAATGATGGAGAAGGGCTTTAGAATGCAACAGCAGAAATCTGTGATTTAATAGATATGAAATCAGTTTAAATTTGTATTATCTTCAAAAACAAATAATGGAATATAAAGGAGGCTAAAGACCCCTTACTTTACTAGGTTTTTACCTGGAAATCAATTTCTCTTACATATAAGAAATAGTACTTAGCAGTATGGATTTTTGAATCTCATCCAAATGCAGAATGACTGCCGTACACACAAAACAATTGTTTGTCAAAAATGTCACAAGGATTTTTGTTAAACCCACAAACTGGAAATAAATAATTGCATGATATGCCAGTTTCACTATCAAGGAAATGATTTGTGTATTTAAGGTGTTTTAAACATGGAAACCATAAACATAGAAAAATAGATTGTCTAGTCAGTCTCCTGGTTAGTATACCTAGCAGGTGTTTTCTCACTATTGTTAATGATCTCTGAACATCCAAAGCAAACTAACATTATTGTATATGGCTCTAATCCTGCAGACACTTGCCCATGTCAGTAGTTTTACACTTCTGAATAGCCTCATTAAACTGACCACAAATTTGCTGGACTGGGGCCTGAAGTGTTTTAAAACTAATTCAAATCTTTGTTAACGTGAAAGGGAAAAATAAATCAACAGAAGACAAAAATGACTTGTGTCCTTCCTAACCAAAATAAGCATCTCCTGTTCTTCTTGGCTCTAGAAACAGCCATCTCAAGAACAGGGAAGGATACGCTTGTTGTGGAAGTCAAGCTGTACTGCAAAATTAAAGATCAACTTGCTGAGGGATAAGTACTTCATACATTGACTCTCTGTGCTAAAGACTCAAATGTCGTAGGGAATGAGGAGTGGTAGGGTAGATCTCCCTAGGTTCTTGGGTAGGCTTTTACACCTACATACACAGAAACAAAAGTACTTGAGTACTTATAGCCCTACTCTCAGTTTTCTCTCTTTCATCTCTGCTTCCAGTCTAGCTTGACTCATTGTACCAGTAGTCATAAGGGCAAGAAAAAAGGGCCAAGTCCAGCAAGCTCCTACTCAGTTATGGTAATGGGAGTGCTAAATGTCCAGGCCCTACCTGCGAAAGAGAGACTGCAGGGTTACGAACAGTTGGTCGGTCAATCCACTGGCAAACGAGCCTGCTCATGTCCACAGGCACAATGCGGTGCCCCTCTTTTCCAGCAAACTCAAAATCTTCCACAGGACAATGAGTGCAAATGTCTAACCTCCCACCCCCCTTCACCAAAGCCTCTGGCTTTGTACATAAAGGTCCTTGGCTCCTGGCAACAGTACAGATAAGAAGGTGCAATGCCAACTATCTAGTACATGCTGCCACCCCTCTTGAAGTTATTTATAATGCTGGCTTCAGGGGAATGGTCTTTCGTAGAAGAAGGAAGGAAAGAAGCAGCTTGTATTACAGCATTTAGAAGAAATATTTGTGTAATTATACATTTGTGTCTACCATTTATCGATCTTCATTTTAAAACTAAGTATTAGTAAAATGAGTTCAGCTGTACTATAATGGACAATACAAACACTGATCCTTCAGCCTGATCCAATTCCTACTGAACTCAGTGGAAAGACTAACTTTTGTGGCAGCTGGCCCCTAGTTCTTGTACATTTGCTAAAATGTTTGACTACTAGTTAACTGATTACATCTCAAATAAAAAGTCAGTGACAAAGTCTGTGCACCCAGTCTCCAACTAAAGTACTTGCAACTTCTGAATTGCAATGTTCAGCAAATTTCTACAGAAACAGAGAACAGTCTCACTCACCTCTTTTTGTAAGTAGGAAAAACAAGTAAGTGCTGCAAAAAGACTTGGCAACAGTAGAATTCTTGCACTGGCAAACTAGCTCATTGCAAACAACTCTGTCTCTTGAAGGAAAAACTGAAGCCTCTCTGTGAGGCTTAACTGCATAAATGATCACATGATATTAAGCACTTGCCACCACATTTAATTGCAATGGGCTGTGTTTGAGCCAAGTAGTGCTATAGTCCCTGCATGCTTCACATTTGTAACAGTTGTGACAGTAGCAGTAAAGGGAGTAAACGCAATAGCCCAAACCAATTTCTTGCTTCAGTAATTGATTGTTTAATTACAATTGGAGTCACTGAACTAACAGTCTATTCAGGGAGACCAGTGCTCCTAATTTTGTTACCTTTTGCCCAACCTGCTGTGCTGAGCAAAATGAGGACAATTTTTGTATAAAGCAAATAGAGCAAGTAACTTCTATAGCAATTTGCATCTTAAAAATACTTTACAAACATTACTTAACCTTCCTCAGACCCCATTATGACAGGTGAGTGTTATTCCCTTTTTACAGGTGGGGAGAAAGAGGCACAGAGAAATTAAATGACTTTTTCAAGGTCACAGAGTTCCTGACCAATACTCAGAATCATAGACATGAGAGCTTGAAGGGACCTCAAGAAGTCATCAAGTCCAACCCCCTGAAGAGGCAGGGCCAAGTAAACCTAGGCCATCCCTGACAGGTCCAGCCTGTTCTTACAAAACCTCCTGTGATGGGGATTCCACCTTCCTTGGAAGCCTATTCAGAGCTTAACTACCCTTACCATTAGGAAGTTTTTCTTAATATCTAACCTAAGTCTCCCTTGCTGAAGACTAAGCCCATTACTACTTGTCCTACCTTCAGTGACCTGGAGAACAGTTGATCAGTCCTCTTTATAAGTCAACATACCTGAAGACTGTAATCAGGCCCCCCACAGTCTTCTTTTCTCAAGACTAAACGTGCCCAGTTTTTTAAACCTTTCGTCATAGGTCAAGTTTTCAAAGCTTTTTATCATTTTTGTTGCTCTCCTCTGGACTCTCTCCAGTTTGTCCAAATCTTTCCTCAAGTATGGCACCCAGAATTGGACACAGTACTTCAGCTGAAGCCTCACCAGTGCCCAGCAGAGCAGAATTAGCTCCAGTCTCTTACATACAACACTCCTGTTAATAAATCAAAGAATGATATGAGCCATTTTTGTAACTTCACATTGTTGACTCATCTTCAATTTGTGATCCACTATAACCTCCAGATCTTTTTCAGCAGTACTACCACCTAGCCAGTTATTCCCCATTTCTTCATTCTGTGTGAAGTATTTAGCACTTTATCTTTACTGAATTTCATCTTTTTGATTTCAGACTAATTCTTTAATTTGTCAAAGTTGTTTTGAATTCTAATCCTGTCCTCCAAAGTGCTTGCAACCCCTTCCAGGTTGGTGTCATCCACAAATTTTCTAAGTATACTTTCCACTCCATTATCCAGGTTATCAGTGAAAATATTTAGTAGTACCAGACCCAGGACTGACTCCTGCAGGATCCCAATAGATACATCGCCCAATCTAATAGCAAATCATTGATAACTACTCTTTGTACAGTCATTCAACCAGTTGTGCACCCACCTTATAGTAATTTTATCTAGACCACGTTTCCCTAGTGTCTCTCAAAAATACATTAGCTGAGGTTTGCTCTTTTTTCTGAATCTGAACAATCATGAACACATAGCCCTATTCTTAATTCATCTGGTTTCTTCTAGTGATCTTTCAAAGTGATGTGTGAGTACAAAAACTAAATAAAATGAAAAAATTAAAGTTCAAATGCAATTGCTCCTTCAGACTATATAAAGAAATTTGTTTAATGAACAGAATTCTATAAATAGTAACTTTCTGTAACAGTTCTCAGAACAATCTTACCCACTTAAGTAGTAGCAGTACCACTACCAAAAATGCAAATTCTTAAAAACAAAACAAAAAAAAACCTGAACAAAACACCACACAGCCAGAGTGAAAAATAACTAACTGTCTCCTTACCCCAACGTACACAATATTTACATTTTCCAGTGGGATGTCTTTAAATGCAGATACAGCACACGTTGAAACCCATTACAAACATTAGAAGCAATTTTCAAGTGAACTGCAAATTTTTTCTGGAAGATTGGATTGTTGATTCCATTACCTCTACATGATGCCATGTTTGAGAAATATTTTCCCCATTCTAGATCTATTCCATCTTGTCATTTAGTAATGTTCTTTCACTAAACAGCAGAGACGAGTTTCCAAAATTTTAATTATAACTGCAAAAGGAACATAAAATATAAATTTGCATTATATCTGGGATTGATCAGAAAGATGCTTTAGTTCAAATCTGTCACTTCCTTTTAGACTGGGTAGAAGGGAAGAAAGTAATAAGCAAAGGGAATTACAGTGAAAACTAATAGAAACACAAGCCTTTTCCACCAATTGAATTAGAAAATTCAAACAGTACTTTGCCAAACAAGTTTCAATATGTGATCCATGAAATTGCAGTTCCCCACAGAAGTGTTGCTTTCCTAGAATATCCTAATGCCCTTCTGTTGTACAGAGAGTCAGTTACACAGACAAGACAGTATTTACAAGAGACCCAGGATTGGCAGCTCCTACTCCTGGATTAACAGATACATTAAAGTCCTTTAACCATTCATAGCTCATCGTGTTTTGCAGGGTCCATGCTGGGTTTAATGAAAACTCCTTCCATTGCCATCCAGTAGTTGTGATGATTAGGAGAAGTCATGCCATGAACTTCCCGTTGGCCTCTGATTGGGTGGCCATATTGTTCTCCCGTTATTGAAAGGAATACGTCAGTTCCTATGTGCTTGAAACGCACTGCATCCTCCCGCTCCCAGTGTGTCCCACTGCACTGTACGGTCCATATATCCAAGTCATCTCCTTCACCATCATCACCAAAGGCACTTACTTCCTGAATTAGAAATAAGGGAACACCAAAGATACTTAAGACACCAATCACTCAGCCAGTAGGGGGAATTGTAAAGACAAGGGTAGGTAGGAAACAAAAAGTGATGTTGTATTGCTTTTGTGGCAATGGATCTAACCCAGATGGGATAATTTGCCCCCTCTATAGTCCAGAGGTAAAGTGCTAAAAATAAAGGCATTATGAACAAAAATAAAACAAGGGAAACGGGAGGACAATCCTTTTGAGGAAAAAAACCCTTGAAAACTAAAGAACAAAATACTCCTCAGATACAGGGCTCACCTTCCTTCCTCTCAGCAAGATAGTATGGTATCAATCAGGTATTTACCGGTAAGTCATTCGTTTGAAACATTTCCTCTCAGTCATTTATTTTATTACTACTTATATGGCAGTAATGCCTAGAGACCCCATTGTGTGAGGCACTGTACAAACACATAGTAAAAAGACAGACCCTTCTCAAAGAGCTTAGAAGCTAAGCAGACAAGACAAATGGTGGGAGACCATGTAACTTGCCACGATCGCACAATAGGTCTGTGA